TGGTTTATAGGTCGATGTTCAACCACTGAGCCATGTCAGCTGGGCTTCTATCAATCTTTTTTATCTTTTCAAAGAACCAATTCTTGATGTTATTGTTCCTTTGTACTGTTTTTTAAGACTCTATTTTGTTTATTATCTTTCTGATATTTTAATATCTTTTCTTCTACTTACTTTGAGTTTTGCTATTCTTTTTTCTAGTTCATTTAGTTGTAAGGTTAGATTATTATTTTAGATTTTTCTTGTTTCTTGAGTAAGCCTATATTGCTATGAATTTCCCTGTTAGTATTGCTGTCGCTGTGTCTCATAAATTTTTTAGTTATTGTGTTTTCATTTCTATTTGTTTCAAGCTATCTTTTTATTCTCCCTTGATAGCATTGTTAACCCATTCACTGTTCAGTAGCATGTTATTTAACCTCCATGTGTTTATGTATTTTTCTTCTTGTAATCAATTTCTAGTTTCATATTATTGTGATCAGAGAAGATGCTTGACATGATTTCAATCTTCTTAAACTTATTGAGATTTGTTTTGTGGCCTAACATGTGGTATACCCTGGAAAATCTTCCATGTACCTTTGAAAAATAAATTCTGCTGCTTTGGGCATAATGTTCTAAAAAATATCAACTAAATATATCTGGTCTAATGTATCACTTAAGGTCACTGTTTCCTTATTGATTTTTTACTAATGATCTATCCATTGATGTCAATGGAATGTCAAAGTCTGCTACTATTATTGTATTACTGTTGATCTCTCCTTTTATGTCCATCAATATTTGCTTTATATATTTAGGTTCTTCTGTATTGGGTACATGAATGTTTATAAGGGTTATATCTTCTTGTTAGATTATCTCTTTATCATTATGAGATGTCTTTTTTTTGTTTGTTTGTTTCTTGTTAGAGCTCTTCAATCTGTGTGTGTCTCTTGATCTGAAGTGGGTCTCCTTTGGGTAGCATATGTATAGGTTCTGTTTTTTGTTTTGTTTTTCCAAATTTATTCATTCAGTCACTTTATATCTTTTATTTGGACTGTTTAATCCATTTACATATAAAGTAATTATTGATAGGTATGTAGTTATTTTCATGTTATTATTCATATTTTGATATTTTTTCTCATCTTATTCTTAAAGAAGTCTATTTAATATTTTTTGTAATGCTGGTTTGGTGGTGATCAATTTCTTTAGCTTTTTCTTGTTTGTGAAGCTCTTTATCTGTCCTTTGATTCTAAATGGTAGTCTTGCTAGGTAGGGTAATCTTGGTTGCAGGTCCTTGCTTTTCATCACTTTGAAAATATTTCTTGTCATTTCCTTCTTTCCTGCAATGTTTCTGTTGAAAAATCAGCTGACAGTCTTATGGAGCTTCCTTGTAGATAACTAACTACCTTTATTTGCTACTTTTAAGATTCTCTCTTTGTCTTTAAACGTTGGCATTTTAATTATGATGTGTCTTGGTGTAGGGATCTTTGGGTTCATCTTGTTTGGGACTCTCTTCACTTGCTGGATTTGTATGTCTTTTTCCTTAACCAGGTTAGGGAAGTTTCAGTCATTATTTCTTCAAATAGGTTCTCAATCTCTTGTTCTCTCTCCTCTCCTTCTGGTACCCCTGTGATGAGGATGTTGATATGCCTGATGTTATAGCAGAGATCCCTTGAACTGTCCTCATTTTTTTTATTTTTTTTTTCTTTCCTGATTAGGTGTTTTCTGCTTACTTGTCTTCAAAATCACCACTTTGATATTCTGCATCATCTAATGTGCTCTTGATTCCCTGTTATGTATACTTCATTTAAGTTATTGTATTCTTCATTTCTGACTATTTAAAAAATATTTTCTAACTCTTTGTGCAAGTTCTCTCACTGAGTTTGTTTATTCTCAAGTTTATTGAGCATCCTTATAACCAGTGTTTTGAACTCTGTATATGGTAGATGTTTGCTTGCATTTTTTTTAGTTCTTTTTCTGGAGTTTTATTCTGTTCTTTCATTTGGGACATGTTTCTTTGTCTCCAAATTTTGGCTGCTTTTCTGTGTTTGTTTCTATGTATTATGTAGATATGCCACATCTTCCTGTTTTTTAAAAAATAATCCTTTATTGCTGAAAGTATAGCATATGTCTCCTTTCCCCCCAACATTTTTTAGTTGTGGCAGGGTGGCCTTACATGGTAGTTGTCCTGTGGGGCCCAATGGCACAGTATCCCTGGTCACCTGAGCTGTGTGCTCCAAGGGTGTCCCTTATATTGGTTGTGGTTGAGCCTTGATTATTGTTAGCATGTCAGTGTGAGGGCTTGACCTTTAGACTGACTAGCTGTGAGGACTGACTTTGTCTATATTGGAGGAGCTGTTGTGTGAGGAGCTGACCCCACAGAGTAAGATTCACTTTAGTGAAGCTCTGGTGTCTGCCAAGTCCACCTTTGGGTATGCCATTTGTGGAACTAATTGTGTGGTGGTCTGGTGTGATCTGAAGCAAAACACTTAATGTATTGGTTCTAGGACCTCTTTTGAGGGGCTCCAGTGCAGGCCACTGCCTTGCCCAGACTGGTAGGAGCTAAAAAGTGATCTGCAGTTTGTAGCTTCCTGTGCTGGACTTTGAGGTACCTGGGAGAGATTGTGCTGTGAACCGAGACTGGCTGTTACTAGTGCCAAGCTTGGGGTCGCTTAGAAAGAGGTACAGGGCATGCTGAGGACAGCTGCTGATTGTTTTGGGCTTGTGTAACTTTGAGAGATTTTAGGAAAGTCCATAGCACGGGCCTAGACAGGCTGCTTGTGAGGGACAGTAGTGAAAGAGGTTGGGGTTGGTGTTTAGTAGGGTGGGACAGGGCCTCAGGGAATCACCATGGTGGGGTGAACAGTGTTAATCAGGTTGATGGTAAATCGGATTTGGCACCCACCTGAGCCTGCTGTCTGGATGGAGGGGGAGCTCAGCAAAGGAGCAATGTCTTCTGCTAGCCTAGCATTTCTTTCTGGGAGAGAGCTGCCCTGAAGCCAGATAATTCATTTCCTCCCCATATGTGTCCGGTGCTTTTTGAGCTGTTTTCCCTTTGCTGGCACTTAGGGTGAGTGTTTGTGAGAGAGTGTGTTTATACTTGAACCCTTTAAAAAGACACATGAGTCTACAGCAGATCTTTATCTTACCTGGATGGAATCCCAACTGGTTTTCACAGCCAGCTATTGTGGGAATTCCTCTTCTGGCACAAGTGGTCCAGACTGGTGTGGGCTTAGAACCCCTCACTCCCAAGGGGGGACCTCTACAGCCAAGATATTCCTCCCGATTCTTAACTACCACTCCTGGGTGTGGGACCAGCCCATTCTGCTTCTCTGCCTCTTCTACCAGTCTAGATGTGGCTTCTTTTTTATAGTTATAGGATTTCTGTTCAACTAGGTGTTTCTCAAGGGCTGTTGTTCTATAATTTCATTGCAACTTTGATGTGGTCACGGAAGGAGGTGAGCACAGCATTTATACCTATTCTACAATCTTGACCAGAAATCTCTTTAAAGTGAAACAACATTATGTGTGGGAGGCAAAGCACGTGTGCAGGCCACCGATTTGCAACCTCTGGATGAGAAGAGAAATGCTCAGGGAATTGGAGGGTGAGTAGGGTCAGTGTGGCCTTGGGAAGTATCTCTTGGCAAGAGAAGTTCTCAGAGTGCCCACTGGACTTCCCTGACCTATCCCTCCACACCTCTATAGCTGGGTCACCAGTGAAAGTCTTCCCTTCTCCACCTCACCGAAGTCGACATAGCCATCACTTCCTCCTTTAGAACTCCTCCTGCAAGTAGCCTACTACTGGACTCTGGGGAAAATTTTCCATCCTTACAGAGATCTCCTGGGAAGGCCCTACCACTGGCCACAGTGAAACCTCACAAAAATCAGGGCCTCTGGGGCTCTTTCCATAGTTTCTCCTCAGGCTGCCCCTCTAGTGACCTCCACCCTATACTGCCTTAGGGGTAGAGCACAGGAAGGGTAGAGTGGCCTGGCAGGTGAGCTGGCACCTGGAGACTGGGTTTCTGTGGTGCGTTTAAGAGGACTGCAAGGAGGACACCTTGCTGGACAACAATATGTGAAACATACCCACTTGGGACAGGAGGGGGAGCAGCCTAAACAGGGAACTGAGAGCCACAGGCAGGATGTGCGTTTGAGCGTTTCTGGCAGGGAGTCAATCTGAACAAGAACAGTGAACAGTGGGCCTGGGGTCACCCTCCTTGATCTCCTTAGCTAGTATGGCTGGGGCCGGGTACAGGGGGAGAGGCGGGTAGTCATGGTGGCTGGGCCTGTAGTCTCATTCAGGGCAGGCAGGTGGGCACAGTCAGGTCTCATCAGAATCTCAGCTAGCTTAACTGGGACAGGACAGTGCAGCCAGTGTCCTCACCCTCTCTGGGAAAAGAGAGGTCAAGTGAGAATGCACTACAGGGGAAATGTTTAACCTACTTGTAAGATACAATGACTTGCAAGGGCTTTAGCATATCTATTTTACTTACCAATGTGCAATTATGTGCTGTTCTTGTTTATTCATTACAGTGGATCCCCATTTATTGAGCTCTCTTAAATCCATTCTCTCAGCCTCAGACTAGGCAGAAAACCCCACTCCTCCTCACACAGTCAAGAGGATGGAGTGGCTCTGAAGGTGCCATGGGACTCTCAAGTCCCTTATGCAGCACTCATATCTTTCCCATCATGTACCCTCTGTTTTAGCAAGGTCTCTCTATAATCCCTGTGTGGCCGCCCCAGCATTTTTGGCCCATTTCCAGGTGCCCAAGTTCTACTCCTTCGTAAATGAATTCTATTTCAGTTCCCCCATCCTCCCAGAAGCCTTTTCTAGACATTCCAGCCCAAACTAAAGCCAGTTTGGGCCAGACCAGAAAGGGGCTGAGGGCAGCCTAGTCTTGCAGGTGCTGCCACAGATAGGACAAGGGGAAAGGCCACTGGACTTGGAGCTGTGTGGGTTTGTTGCCTAGTCAGTGCCCCGGACTCACAGGGAACTGGCGTGGGTTCTAGAAACCTGGGCCAAATGCTTCTGGGGTCCTGAGCATGGAGTTGAGGAGAGCAGGCCTGAGCCCTGGTGAGCACTGCTCAGTTGGCCAAGGGTAAATGTGGGCTCTGGAATGTCTGATAGGGTCCTAGGGCCCTGCAAGCTAGGCGTGTGGTAAGCAGAGTGAAGCCTAGATTCAGGTCTTGTTTCTGCGCAGGGGCTGTTTATTTGGGGCAGGGTACCACACCTTGCTGAGTGTCTGTTTTCTCATGTGTAAAATGGTAATCGTCTGTTATTTGGAGGGTTGTTGTAAAGTAGGTAAGATAATTTATGTGAAGTGCCTAAAGCATCAAATTGTACGTGTTCCAGAAACAGCAGCTCTTATGTAAGTATAAATAATAAATAATAACAATTCCAAATCTCCAGCTCCACCGATTTCTGTGTGCAACTTTGAACAAATTCCTTATTAGCTCATCCGCTTCCTCACCTGTAAAATAAAGATTCTGGTTCATCCATTTATTCAATAATTACTGAACAACTTATTATGTGCTGGGCGCAACTAAATCTGTCATTTAGTGTTAGCTAAAAAACATGGCACAGTGCCTGGCATATACTAGGTGGCTAATAAATGTCAGTTTTCTTACACAAGTTCCAGCTGGATGATGGGTGAGAGATGGAGGGCGGAAGGGGATGAGGTGAGGGTCAGAGTAAGGGAATTTAGGAGAGGTAGTGGTGGATATCTGTGTCTGCCTTGAATTCCCAGCTCCCCCTGGCCCTTATCCCTTCCATTGACAGGGTCTCACTTTGTCTCTAAGGGTGGAGGATGGTGCTGGGGTCTCCAAATAGTTCATCCCCCTTTCTGCTCCTTGGTCCCATCAGACCTTAGACTACATGGTCTGTCCCTTGCCTGTAAATGGAGACAATGAGGTCTCCTCATCCTCAGACATTGGAGACACTGCAATGTGCCCACCTCGTTAAAGTGGTGTCAGGCTGAGGACCTCCCCTCACTCCTCCCACTCCCAGAGTGGTCTCCTTGTCAAGCCAGCCCCCTATCTCATGCTCCTGGCTTCTTTCCCAGAGACCACAGGCTGGACTCACCACCACCTCTGGCTTATCAGCACTGAATCCCCACACCTCTTTGTTTTGACTTTGCCCAGCTGCTGAGCCACACCAGGCCAGTCCCTCCCAGGGAGCTGTGTGTATGTATGTGCACAAGCAACATGAGACCTGGCACGTAGGAGGCCTGCAATAAAAGCTGATTGAATGAATGCTCCCTCTGCAAATGGAGCTCATTCTTTCATTCTGCAAACATTTATTGAATGCATAATCCATTTGGTGCCAGGCTCTGTGTCAAGGGCCATCAATAGTAGCCAAGTTCTCCAAAGAATGAATGGCATTCACAGGTCTCCTGCTCCTGATACCCACATCCCACCATCTGGCTCTCAGACCCCAGCCCCTCCCACACCCCCAGAGACCAGGGCACTGTCTCCACCAGGGATATGACTATAGCATATGTTTGAGTACCAAGTCACTGAGTTTGGGATCAATCCTGGTGCCATACTTATCCTGTGCCCTTAGGCAAGTTATTAACTTCCCAGAGCTTCAGTTTCCTCATCTGGAAAACAGGTATAAATATAATTGCTTATCTCATATTTTCTGAGTGGAATAAATGCAGTAAAACATATGCTTAGGACATGCCCAGCGCATAGTAGGTGCTCAATGAGCATGAGCTGTTTATGACTATGACTCCTCCACAGCACTGGTTGTCACAAGTCTGAACTCACAGTAGATGGTCAGCAAAATAAGACTTCCTGTAAACAGGGAGATCTGATGGGACATTCTGGGAAACCCAGAAACTGGCGAAGAGATGGTGAAGAGCAGTGAGAGACTACCTGGAGGAGCAGGTGGGTCTGGAAGAAGTCCCCAGGATGTCTGTGTCTGCCTCCAGGACAGGGAGCTCATTACTCTGAAGCAGTGTATTTTGTGCTCACCAGCTCTGATAGTCACAGTTCTTTACATAGGTGACCACATTCTGTCTTTCAAGTCATAAGAAAACCATGGGGATCCGTGAGTGAGGTCCAGACTGATTGTGGCATATATATATGAGTAGCCAAGTACTTTTTAGGCCTTTGAAAACCTATGCCCGCTTCAATATCTACTTTCCCCTCCTCCAGGACACCCTCACTCTACTGCCCCATTTGGAGCAAGTAGCCAGGTGGTACATGCTAGCCATGGCCAGAGGAAATCACACAGAGGGGAGTGGAGTGGGGTCTCCCAGGAGAGGACAATGCCCTCACAGGGCTCTCTGTTTCTTCCTGGTGAAATGTGTGCTCTCTGCAGATGTCTTTTTCTTGACTGTTGCAAAGCTGTGAAACAAATAATCTTGCCACTGGAGAGCAAAAATGAGTCCCAAAGCTAGGTGTGCCCATACCTGGGCAGGGCCTGCCCCTCTTCACTGTCAGGCCATCCGGAAGGATGGAAGGACCCAGCCAGCCATCCTTCAGGGGAGCCCCTGGCATGCATCTTTTGAGCCAGGGTCCTATCACTAATCAATACCACTGCCCAAGAGTTTTCCTGGGACTGAGGGAGGAGCTCAGAGCTCTTATTCTCAGGTCTGGGCAGGAACTGCTAGCCTGGACCCACTACCCTGTATTTCCACTCCAGAGGTTGCACCCTGGTTGGCTATTTAGGGCCCAAGGGGAGACCCCAACACTGCAGAGCAGGCCTCCTAGGCCTGCCTGTCTCATCCTGACAGCATCCCTGGCATTTGCTCCAAACAGGCCAACATGGTCTCTGTCTCCCCGCCCCTGGGGGCTGGACAGTACCTCTCTGGCCATGCTCGCCTGGGCGCCCGTGTGTAGAGCCAGAGACCCTCCTGACAGTCCCTGGCAGGCTGTACCTCTGCTTTCATTAAATGTGCATCAGGGAGGCCCTGAGCAGTGACATCCTTGCACCGCCATCACTGCTTCCTTCCTGCTCTGAGCTATTGGAGACCAATAGCTCGTGGAGACCATCAAGCTGTGGCCCAGTTGATGGCAGTGGTTTCTTTCCCACCCCACTCAGGGATCCCAACCCTGGAAAACACTGGAATCTGAGTTGGGGTGCCACTGACCACAACACATATCCAGTGACTTGGAATTTACCAAGTCCTCATCTTGTTGAAGCTCCACAGCAGTTGGTGAGGTAGATGAACATTATCAGACCCCCTTCATAGATGAGGTAGATAGGCTCAGAGAGGCAAATGGACTTTCCCAAGATTGCACAGTTACTAGATAGCAGAGCCAGATATAGCCTGGAAACCATGTGCTCATGGGGGAAGGGGAGTGGAGGGGCACAGGCTCTGTGACCCTGGGCCAGTTACTTAACTTCTCTGAATCTCAGTCTTCTCATTTGAAAAATGGGAATAGCAATAGTTCCTGTCTTGTCAGGTTACTTTGAAAATTAAATTAGATTATGCTATACAATGTATTTAGCACAGTAGCGACATGGAGATATGCTCAGTAAATGTGAGCAATGGTTGGGATTATTAGCCCAATGATATTCAGATGCTGTCTCTGTATGGACCACGCCCCAGATGAAGCCTTGGTACCTCTAGGCTCCCATCTGTTTCTGTTGGTGTCATTTATGACCTGCCAAAGCGAACTCAGGGTCCCAGAGTGGAGGAGCAGCGGTAGAGCGGAGCCATTGGATTCCTTCCTGGGGCTGCCTGCCTGCAGACAGGTCAGGGGCCTATCTCTGGCCCATGGTGGCTGCTGCCTGTTTTCTCACATGGATCTCAGCAGCACTAGGGGCCTTGCTGGGGCTTTGCCATGAGTCTTTGATCTCTAGAGGACAAGGCTGAGCATGGAGCCACCCACTCCATGGGTGAAGCCACTTAGTCTCCTCCACATCATACTATTAGCCCTGGCTTTGGACACTACTTCTTGAGAGCCTGCCTCCTGCAGATGAATCCCTGGACATGGTCCAGGCCAGCAGCTTGACATTTGGACACCCCCTTCAGGAGCCCTGCAATGGGAAGGAAGGGAGGAAGGTTCTAGACACACTTCCTGGGACCTAGTAGGGAAGTAGGCATCTCTGTGCCTAAGATGAGCTCTGAGAAAGCTTTGGGGCCTGTGGGGCTGGATCCTCAGCATTTTAAAATTTTATTATGACTGTGTTTGTTTAAATATATATGTGTATATATTTATAACTCTATGTACCTCCCCCTACCCAACCCCAGTCCCCTCCCGGCCCCTAGTTTTTCCCTTTGGCTTTCTGTCTGGAGGCTGTGTAGGGAAGCACTGTCTGCGTGCTCTTGTCTGACACTGTTTGGGTGCTGCTGTTCCTCATGATCCTTCGTGTCTGCTCGGGGGCCAAGGTGGGGCCTGAGCATCGGCCAGTCAGTGGAGAGCGCCTTGGCTTGTTGGGGGCCAGGGAGGTCTTGAGGGGGCCCACATGGGCCTCTGTATGGGGAGGCTCTGGGGACAGGCCCACCTCCTCCTCTGCCGCTGCCTCCTCACCATCCCCCTCTTCATCATCACAGCACAAAGCATGGTAGAGCACTTTGTCGCTGAAGCGCACTCTCTCCCGTGTGCCTGGGGTCCGCTGGGGCAGTTGCCCCTTGAGAGGGCCGGTGCTGAAGGCCTCCTCACTGGAGGAGTCTGGGGTCTCCACCCGTGGCCCATTAGGAATGGGCATGCCACCGTTCATGAGTCGGTAGTCAGAACCAGCCCCTGGTCGTGTTGACTCGGCGGCGTCCATGGAATCTGAAGGGGTAGAGACATCCAGGAAGGAGCAGAACTCCCAGCTGTCTGAGAGGATGTCAGCTGTCGTGAAGTCCAGGTGGCCCAGGTCAAAGGGGCCACCTACACCGGCCTTGTCGCTGCTGGAGGTACTGCTCACAGTGGCCGTGGTCCAGTCATCTGGCTCCAGTTCAAAATCGAAGTCTGAGGTTAACTTATCTATCTGGCTCACCACCTGTCCAGGGAAGGGCAGAAGGATTAGAGTGGCCAGGCCAGACCTGGCATCACTTAGGTGTGAGCATGTGTCCCCCCGCCACCCCGTGACATCCCCCCTGCTAATGCCCCTACAGGATGGAGACTGGACTTGAGGTCACAGGCTTATTTGCTCTGTGGAGGCCCAAACTGGACCAGGGTGAAGAGAGCTTGTTTTCCATTCCTCAGTCTCTTGGGTGGAGGAGGGACTGTCTTCCAGCCTGTACATCATCCATTCACATACCCCTCTCCCCATAGCCAGCTGCTGTTCTGGAGCAGGGGAGGGGGTGTTTATAGGCTCTGGTGCTCAGAGCTTGATCTTCCTATGACTGAGAGGGGCTATTTAAAGAGGGTGGTTACCATATAAAAGGATTAGTGTAGTAAAGGTTAAAGGGGGCCAAGTATATAGTAATGGAAGGTGATCTGACTTTGGGTGGGGGCACACAATGCAATATACAGATCATGTATCATAGAAATGTACATCTGAAACCTATGACCCTATTGACCAGCATCACCCCAATAAATTTAATCAGAAAATGAAATCTATACTAATAAAAGACCGGAAGACCTTCTGGGAGACCTTCCAGACGTCTTTCCAGACAAAGCCATGGTGGCGGGGCTGAGGCAGAGGTGGTTAAGGGCAATCAGGCTGGCAGGGGAGGGCAGTTGGGGGCAAGCAGGCCAGCAGGGGGGGCAGCTGGGGGTGATCAGGCCGGCAGGGGTGGGGGCAGTTGGGGGGGATCAGGCCGGCAGGCAGAGTGTTTAGGGGCGATCAGGCAGGCAGGCAGGAGAGCATTTAGGAGCCAGCGGTCCCAGATTGCGAGAGGAATGTTCAACTGCCGGTTTAGGCCCAATCCTACAGGACATCCCCCAAGGGGTCCCAGACTGGAGAGGGTGCAGGCCGGGCTGAGGAACATCCCCTCCCATGCACAAATTTCATGCACCAGGCCACTAGAGGGCTGAGAGACTCCAGCAAATCTACTTAGTAGAGACATGAGAAAATGATATGAGGTGACCATGAGGAAGCATCCTGGGCCAGCCTGTGCAGCTGGTCAGTGACTGTCCCTCAAGGGTCTCCATCACTCCACCTCTGCCCCCAGAGCCTTCTCCCTCCTTCCTCTCCCTGGCCTCTGATGACTGGAGATCAATCCTGGCTTGTTGGGGAATGAATAAAACAAGCATTATTTGGTAAGCAATAAAAAACCCATCCATTCTGGGCCCAGAGGTGCCTGTTAAATGCACTTGGGATGGGAGGGGGGACAGTTCAGGTGCAAGGTCACTGCAACCTGCCCACCCCACGAAGACTAAAGCTCGGACTCCATGCAGGCAGCCCAGCCTCAGGACATCCCCCGACCTTGGCCACTGTCAGCACATGAGTCAGGGAGGATGATAGGGAAAGGAGAATCAAGAGGAGAGAGTCTTCAGGCCAAAAACAAAAATAGCAAAATATCAAAAGCAAAGTGGAGGAACCAAGAGACCCAGAGACAAAGGCATATGCAGTGAGTCACCAAGCCCAGGGCCCCTCCCGGTGTTCTTACCTGGAGTCAGATCAGCCAGTTAATTGATTACCTAATCAACAAAACTTTACTGAGGACCACAGCTATTCAGGGATGTGCTAGGTATTTGGTGAGGAGTGGGGGTGAGGAGGGCCCCACAGCGAAGAAGAAAGCAAAGACAAAACTGAGGCGTCAAGAGGAGTCTGGGTCACTGGGATGTCTGCTTGGTTAAGGGGTCAGGAGACCCCACGCAGGTGACCTGGTCAGTCAATTTTCCACTTAGGTCTCAGTTTCTCAATCTGTAAGTGGGGAGTTGGGTGAACTGGTTTATCTCCAAGGTTCCTTTCATCGCTGTGATTCTAGGAAAGGGTTCTGTGGGGCACTGGCGATAAAAGCGACGTTATCTCCCATCTCTGAGCACCTACTATGTGTCAGACTTTCCATCCATGAAATCATCATCTTCTGAGACCATAGATAATGGGCCTGAGGGACCAGTCACTGGGGAAGCTGAGATTACTGCCTTTGCCACACCCCTGCAAGACTGCACACTGCTCCAAGTGCTACTGTGATTCCTGGGCTTGAGTAGGCAATGGGCAAAGGGCTCTACCCTCCAATCTGGCCACCTCTTCTTATGTCTCTGACTCCAATGACTCCCCCTAACACAGAGAAGGTCACATCCCCCAGAAGTCCTTGCTCAACCCAATCCACATCTGAGGGCTGGTAGGAACCCTGGCCTCAAACTGGAATGTGTAACAGCCCACTCTCCGGAGTTTCTGATTTTGCAGGTTCTGGGTAAGGTTTGAGAAAGTGTAGATCTAACAGGCTTCCTTGTGCTGCTGCTGTTGGTCTGGGGACAAACTTTGAGAACCACTGACCTAGGGACCTGGTATTTAAGCTGATGAAAGAATAGCACCTCAGGGCATTGCTGGCTTCAGAAGTGGCCTTGTACCTCTGGGCAGCCACATCCTCCAATTAGACTCCCCAGAGCAAGCTAGATGCTGATAGTCTGCTGCTGAATAAGAGAAGGCAACACTAGCAGGAATCTGGAGTTAAATTTCTTGGCTGTCATGGCACAGATTTGGCTGAGGCTAGGCCAGGCCCAGAAGCTGGGCTCCTAACATACTGTGAGGAAGATCCAGGGAGCACAGGGCAGGATTCCTGAAGCCTTCAGGCCTGAACATACTCCCCCCATCCAAAAGGCCCTTCTCAGGTGGCCTTCACATTCAGGCCCTTCCTCTCCTCCCTTAGAACACCCTCTCTGGTTCCACCCTGGGGGTGTGGAGGGTAGTAAATGAGGGAGGCCTGGATTCAAGCCTCAAGTGTGGCTTTCCTGTTTCCAGTCTCATTTTCCTCCCCTGTAAAGTGGGATGACGCTCTTCTCCTCTCCCAGTTGGTGGGGATTTAATAGATATGAATGTGCATTAAACTGCAGAGTCAGCACATCCAAGCATCCAAGAACCTAGGCTCTGGAGTCACACCTAGGGTCCAACCCTGGCATCACAACTTACTAGCTTTATGACCTTAGCCAGGTTGCTCAAGGTCTCTGTGAGTATCTTCAGCCAAGGAGAATCCTAGTAGTACCTACTTGTTAGGTTGTTGTGACTATTTAATGACTTGATGCACAGAAAGCATGTAAAACAATACCCACCATGGACCCACCGTGTTGAGAGCCAACACGTAACCAGGCACCAGGCCCAAGAGCTGATGGGAGCCAGTTCTTCACCAAAAGAATGATACTCTGATGGGGACATTTCCAGTACCCGTGGCAGAATAATGGGACATGTTGGGCCTTTCAAACCCCAACACCTGGGTGGCACCTATGTTCCATGAAGTAGGGCTGTTTCCAGATGGAAACAGAAGAGGTTCTAAAAGCCAAATGGTTGAGGCTCACAGGCAAATCTGGCTCAGTTCGTTAGGTGGGATAGGTCAAACATATTTGATAAATGACATAAGTAAGAATCAGAAAGGGAAGTGAGATGCCCAGGGTACTCAGACTGTATGCAGAGCCTGGTCAAGCCTGTCCTTGGTGCCTCTCATTTCATGAGGTCAATGGGAGGGCAGGTGTGGGGCACGCCCCATGCTACCTGCCTCTCTGTTTGGATGTCTTGAAATCTGTAATTTCTGCCTGCAATTTAATAATCATTTTGCCTGCATGTAACTTGAGATCGTCTTAGAGTACAGGCAAAATAATTATATACACAGGATAAAAGAGGGGGAGAGGGGGAATGGAGAGAGAAATGAAACCATAAAAATCACAGAATCCTACAACCTCAAAGCCAGAAGGGATTGGAGACACTGTTGAGTCCATCCTTCTTATTGTGTTTACTGATAGGGAAACTGAGACTATAATGAGCTGAGCTGATACCAGAAGTCAGGAGTCCTGACTCCTGGGTCTCATCTTTTAAGAACATGAATTACCTGCTCAAGAGGGAACACTTGAGAGAAGGGCAGGATTGAGGGCTGAGACACAATCCCCTGGGGGGCCCAGGTCCTGACTCAGCCTCCGTCCTGATCACAGCTTTGGCTCCCCTCATCTGAACAAGTGCATCCACACTCATCTAGTGCATCCAGGGAACTTTCCAAAAAACCAACAGGACCTCTACTTCCAGTACTCCTGTGCTCCCCAAACTCCTGGACCTCCAAACACCACCCCACACCAAATGTGGCTAAGTGCCCTTTGCTCTCTTCCCTACCAGGCCTGCCTCCTTACCACACCTACACACTTACACCCTGAGCTCACTTCTGCCTCTGGGCCTCACCCGAATGCCTCACACCGTTCTTACTCACTCTATCTCACTTCCATATGGAAGTCCTCCTTGATCCCCAATTGAGGACAGGTTTCCTATGAAAGGCTCTCAAAGCACCTCATACCTTTCCTTAAAATATTATCTAGTATTTATCACTGCTGCAATGTTTTGAGCATATAGGTTATAATGTGGTTGATATCTTCTCCCCACAAGGAGTGGACCTGGAAATGCATCCCCACCATGCACCCCCAGTTTGGCAGAGATTGGTACACTCTTTACAAAACAGCCATTGAATGAATAGACGAGTTGAGACATCTTAATAAAAATTGCTGGGGTGTTCTTTTCTGAGAAAATGCTTCATGGTCCTGGACACCACAATATTGCCTGCCCCAGCCCTAGCTGCCTCTCCAAGAAAAGCATGGATGTGTTCCATAAAACCCTAGGGCAGCGATGGCGAACCTTCTGGGCGCGGCGTGTCAGCACTTTGAAAAACCCTAACTTAACTCTGGTGCCGTGTCACAGATAGACATTTTTTGATATTTGCAACCATAGTAAAACAAAGACTTATATTTTTGATATTTATTTTATATATTTAAATGCCATTTAACAAAGAAAAAGCAACCAAAAAAATGAGTTGGCGTGTCACCTCTGACACGCGTGTCATAGGTTCGCCATCACTGCCTAGAGTCAGGACCGAGGACTGGGAGTCCCACAACCTCTATCTCCTGTCCTCCCCCTCACCTCTGGCCCCTCACTTTTCTTGACAAGTTGCTACCTCCTTCCCTCCTGCCTAGCTCCCTGGGCAGCTGGTTATATAACTAGGGATTCTGCATTATTTATGACCACTGATTACTTTTTAATTCTGTGATTACGTTATTTGTCTTCCTGGGGGCTGTGGCGTTGGGGAGGGGGAGAGAGGTGACTGTGATTCATGACTCTCATCCTGCAATTTGGCCTAATTGGCCCCAGAGCTTCGAGAATCTGTCTGGAGGAGGAGAATGTAAAGGGAAAAGGGTGGCGAGAAAAAAAAGAAGAAAAAATCCGCACAATTCTTGCTGAGCTGTGGGTGATGGAGCTGACCCACTTTGGCACAGCTCTGTGGTCCCCAGCCTCTCCTGCTCCAGCTGCTTCCTGGCTGGGCCACATTTATCTCCTGCTGTATGACCCATAGCTCTCCTGGCGACCTCATATACAGCACCTTGCCGATGGGACAGCACAACTGCATGGGCCTGATCCCCAAGAAAATCAGGTGGGGGGGGGGGCGGTCTTCACTGCCACTCCAGGCTGCAAAAGGGTTTTGCCCACCCCTCCATCCTCCGGAGGTGTTCAGGCCAAGGTGGGCAACTTAAGTTATATCCTACCCAATAGCCAGTGATGATGTGAGGGATACTAGTGATCAACACAGGAACATTTTGAGCCCCATTCTGAGTGACATCTTGGGGAGAGGGTAACCAAGGAGGAGGCCAAGTACCTACTCAAGGTAAGCTCAACATTTGGGGGGCCAAGAACAAGGTCCTATACCCCTGCCTTTGTGGGCTCCCAATTAGTATGAAGCAGGGAGAACAGTGGGGAGGCAGATTCCCACCCAGAAACACAATGAGATTCCTGGGGAACGTGTGGGATTCTCACAGGACAAAATCCAAATTCTGTACTGTGGCCTGCATGCCCTGTGTGCCCTGGCATCCTGCTCTCCACCTCCTAGTTCCCTCCACTCCAACTGCATCAGCTTCCTTGCTGATCCTGACCATGCCAAGCACACTTCCTCCTCAGGACCTGCTGCTCCCCCTGCTTGGAGGCTCATTTCCAGATATCCATTTGACTTGTATGTATTCTCACTTCCTTTGGGTCTTTGTTCAAATGCCATCTCATTGGAGACCTGCTTCCCAACCCCATCACCAACCCCTTGCCTCCGCCAGAAGAGGGTAGGACTGCCTGCTGCAGGGCCCTGGGCCTGACCTCCCTGATCATGGCTAAGATGCCAATGTGACTCCAAAAGAACAAGGGCTCACACAGAGCTGAGGAGCAGGCTAGTGCTCGAACAGTTCATCAGTAATATCTAACAGATACGGAGCTAGTTTTGTGCCCATTGCTGCATGAAGTACATTGTATATAATATCACATTTAATCCTCACAACCATCATAGAGCTGGTGAGGGTGAGGAGGCATACTATTCTGTATCCTCATTTTAGAGATGCAAAACAAAAGCACAGAGAGGTAAAGTAACTTTCCTAAGTTCACACAGCTAGGAAGGTGGTGGAGAACATATGTGAACTAGAGACATCTGGCTGCAAAGCCCAAGCTCAGCCCGTAGGCTGTGCTGCTTCTCCAAATTTTGATTCACAGAATTCTGAGGAGCTTAGAGAGCCTGCTGGGACTGGCCTGGCACCTGGAGTACTAGGGACCTAGGAGAAATGAAGGCTAGTTAATGATTGACTGTCACATCTCTGCAGCACAATTTTTGCTTTCAACACACTTTTACATTTCTTACCTCACTTAGTCCATAAAACTATTTTCCCCACCCATGGGACAGAACTTGCCCCCTATCCCTTGGGGAGAGCCAGGAGTTTGGGAGAACAGGAGAGGTATGGGAGAGGGAACGCCAAATCCTTCAGGGGTATGAGTAGGTGTTGGTACTCCAATACATCCTTGTAAGATCACTCTGAGGTGTGAATTATCATCATTCCCATTTTAGAGATGAGCAGACTGAGGCTCGGGGGCCTGGGGAGCAGTGCTGTAGTGTTTCTCATCTTTCTATGATGCTCAGGAAGTGAGGAGGCTCTGCTGTGATCCATGGTATGTGGGGAAGGGAGCAGCAGATGGAGAAGGAGGATAGCAGAGGGGCTATAGCTAACTAAGCCCTTCCTCTCTGCTGGCCTTCCTCCCTCATCCAGCACCCTGCGCTGCCCTCTGGCAGTCTTGGATGTAAATCTTGGCTTCACATCTAAGTGCTTCACCCTCCTGAGACCAGAACTCAGTTGGTGAACTCTGTGCTGGTGCTGCCTAAAGAGTGGAGTGTGATAAGAGAACTCTCTCAACCTTGGGCCTACCCATGCCCCCACTGAAAAATGCCACCCAAAGTGACTGAGAAGGAGAGCCAGGCAGATCCATTGGAGGATCAAGAGCCAAGCTTACAGGTTCCTGGTGGTGGGGGTGGGGTGGGTGGGTGCAAACCTTTATCTCAAACCAGGACCTGGCACCCCTAAGCGGTAACCCCATTCCTGACAAACCCCATCTCCTAGGAATAGTATCTCCTCTTCTGCCTGGGTCTCTGTAGGCCTCACCTGCCTCTCCCAACACTCCTCTCTGTCCATCACCCCATCTCTAGACCCTGCCTAGGAGATGGGGAAGCTCTGAGACCTGCCCCCCACCCCCCCGCTTCCCAGCTGGGTGCCATTGGCAGTGGGCAGGTGGTGGCATACGGGGTAGATTCTGGTTGCCACAGCAACCTGCCAGAGTCTTGGGTGGAGGCACATGGCCTATTGCGGGTATGGGGGGAGGGGACTCATCTTTCTCTGTCCTGGCTCAGGCCTCTGGGGGTTGCACAGCCCATGAACCTGAAGCTCTGCTGTTCAGGACATGGGAATAGGTGAGTGTGTGTGCTGAGAAGAGAGGGAGAGGCTATCTCAAAGATCTGCAAGTAAATCCTAATGCTTCTGATCCTCCTGCCTCACTCCCTAAAGGGCACCCCCTCAGAGTATCACAGAATGAGCATAAGGTCTCAAGTCTAGAAGGTCCCTAAGAAAATGGAATGAGGCTGCTCGTTAGCCCACCTGCTGAAGCCCCAGAGCAGGAATCAGGACCTGAGTTCTACTGAGTGCCCCTGGTAGGCTCTGTGACCTTAATCAAGCCTCTATCCCTCTCTGGGCCTCAACTTCTTCAACAGTAAATGAATAGGGCTGGGCTGGATGACCTGTGTGATGCCTTCAAGCTCTGGATGGCTCTGCTGGGAGTGGGAGTGGGGGTGGGGGTGGGGATGGGAAGAACAGATGCCTGCAAGATATTCAGCTGGTCATTTGGGAATAGGCTCTGTACTATATCAAAACTCACCCCCAGGCTTAGAGTCCACCCTGGTTCTTTCTGGGTAGGCCTGCTGAGGCATAGGTCCCATGCCCCTGCTCAAGACAGACTCTGGACAGTTCCCATGACTCTGATGGAACCACAGAACACATGAAATAGATGGGGGGTGGGGAGGCATGAGGTGGGGATGGTAGTCCTTCGGAACAATGAGGCTGAGGGAGGAGGAGTTACTCATAGGCAATGACCACTAAATTGCATTCCCCAGAGATGTTCAGCCCACACCCTGGCCAGCCCAGTTCACACCACACCTCTCTCTACCTGTAGCAACAGCCATCTCTGCCTCCTGAGGAAGGACTTCCTGGCAGGCTCCATGAGGCTGACTGGGCAGAGAGGCTGCCTGCCCAACCTTAGCTCCTGGCCCGAATCTCCACTCTGAAGATTCAAACACCCCCTGCTCCTTGGCTCTTGGGCCAGGCTAGAAGACCACCTTGCCAGTCTGGAGTTGGTATCCACCATCACCTCCTCTTCTCAATCTTTCTAGAGCCCCCATCTCCCTGCACATCTGGCTGGGAGAGCCTGAATCCATAACTCCAATTCAATCACTCTCCCTGCCATCTCTGCAGGGGCCCTGGTTACAAGGAGTTGAAATTTGCCTAAAGCCCACCTGGCTGGCATAATGGTACTCAGTGGGAAAATTCAGGCCAGTGGCTCAGAACCCTGGTCATGCATTTTAGGCTCGAACACAGCCCAGGGGGCAGGGCTGAGGACTCTCTGGGTGACTTCAATCTTGGCCAAAAATGTTCAGAACTACGGGATGGGGATGCACCCCTGTAGAGGAGATTCCTGCCCCGCCAATGTACACAGGAACTCTCAGGCCCACTAGCAGCCCCCTAGTCTCATTCCCACCTCAGGGCAGGGAGGAACTAATTTTTTCGGGATCAAGGGTTTTGTAATATCTGGGGAATGCTCCAAGCAGTGGGGACTGCCTCATTGAGCCATCTACACTCTCCCAGGGCCCCTTGTGACCAGCAGATGGTGGGGGTCAAAGGTCAGCTTAGGTTCCAGAAGAGGTTATTGTGGAACTCAGTCCTTATTGGCCATCTTGGCAGCCGAGTCATAACCACAGAGCCATGGGCCCATTACATGCTGTCCCAATGCTCTCTGCAACCGAGACCCGCCCTGCCCTGGGCTATTGTAAGATTTTTAGCAGAGCAGACTTGGGGAAAGGAGAACAAGATGGAGGTACCCAGCAGAGTGGCACACATGCACACAGCTTTGGGCGCGCACACACACACACAGAAACATACATGCCAGAGTATGTTTTTGTGCCAGGCCCAGGAAAACTGGTTTAGGGTCCGTCTGGCCCCTCACTCACCTCCCTGAGCTCCTTGGCCACCTCTTTGAGCTCCCGTAGAATGCCCTCCAGCTGCCCGATGACCATCTTCATGCGCTGTCGAATCCGCTCACGTTCGCCACCACTGCTGGGGTCGTCACTGGGCTGCCCGAGGTCCGGGGTGCCCCGAATGTTCATCCTTTACCACGTGGCTGCAGGCCTGCCCATACTCCCCCCAGCCAGGCACACACTGCGTCTGCCTCCACAGAGCCCCTCTCAGCCAGGCAGAGCTCCACATCTTAACGGCCCCCCAGCCCACGCTGGCCCTGGGTGGCCCTCACCCAGCCCCTGACTCCTGCCACCCCGCCTCCTTTGCCTCTGGATGGGGAATGGGACACCCAGAAGGAGACAAGGGGTCAAGATGAGGACATAGAAGGGCAGGGGAGGGGTCTTGGATCTCAGGAGCCCTTCAGGACTTGAAGTGCCTATAGGTGTGCTGGGCTGATGTCTGGCTGAGCCTGGACACAGAAGCAGGGAGATGACTCTGCAGGGACTAAGGGTAAGAGATGCCCTTGGGATTGGGGAAGGCAGCACAATCCCCTCACGACTCTTGGGCAGTTGCAAAGGCAGAGGTCTCTGGTTGCAAGTGACACCTGCAGAATGACTGTGGCTGGGGTCTTCCAGATGTGGAGGGGGCTCCAGATGTGGACAGCTCTGGGAAGGGAGCTGGACGGAGGAGAGCAGACCCCTGCAGAGAGAAGCCTGGCATCAGCCCTCCCAGGCTGCAGCACCAGCCGGCAATGCTACTGCCTCCATCCTCTCCACAGCCGGGCACCCTTCCTCGCTGGGGATTTAATGTTTTTCTTTGTGGGGAGGGGTGGTGGAGGCAGATGGTCTACAGCACAGCCCCTCTTTGGGAAGAAAAAGAGGGAGCCCCTGCTTTAGAGGCAGAAGTCCTCAGCCTGCGATGGGGCACCGAGCACCAGGTCCCCCCAAACACCCCTCCCCAGCCAGGCCTTGCCCTGGAGGTTCACCAGAGGGTCTCTCCAGTCTTCTGTCCTCCCTCGTAGTGCCCCCAGGGTGCCCTCGTTCCCAGCAGACCCTCCCTTTCCCAGCCCAGCCTTCCCTTAGAACCCCCGGACTCACCGAGGGTGAGGGCACCGGCCTGCCTTCCGAGTAGCGTGGGGGCCAAGCCCCAGATGAGGTTGGGGGGCCCCCCAGGCTCCCTAGGGCGGGCTTCTCTCTCTGGACCCTTCGGCCCCTGGCCTCAGGGAGGTCCTCAGAACCGCCCCGGGAGACATCTGGGCGGTGGGAGGGGCGGGGCCTCTGCGCTCCCCGACCGGGGGCAGGAAAAATGTCCCCCAACCCCCGCCAGGCGCCGGGTGGGGCCTGGGCGAGAAGGGTCTGGTGGGTCTGCGGCTCTCAGGCCACAGGTGACCCGGGCGTAGGGCGTCCCGGTGCGTGAGCCAAAGTAGCTGGGATCGGAGGGCGCCGGGATCCCCTCAGCCCGCGCCCGGCATCCCCCGGGCTCGGCACGGTCCAGGCTTCGCTCGGTCCAGTCCAGACGGAATGAGCGGGCACCGCTGGGTGCCCCGGACGCACTCAGCCCGGACCCAGGATGTCCGCGCTTCCGCACCCGCGGCGTCCCGAGCGGCCGCGAGGGTCCGAGCAGCCCAGCCCCGCTCTCGGCCGGCGGCCGGAGAGAGCGCTGCCGCCGCTCATCCACTGTCGGAAAGGCCGGGGGAGGCGGCGTCGGCCGCGGGACTGGTCCCCGCCGGCCCGGCCAGGAGCGCGCAGGCGGGGGACCCGGCCCGCTGGTTCGGCAGCCCGGGCGCGGGCGGGAGCGGCGCGAGGCGGAGGAGAGGAGGCGACACGAACGGGAGGAGAAGGCGCGGCGAGGGGCGGGCGGGGAGGGCGCGCGGTGGCCCGGCCGGCAGGGAGCACCGGGTTCGCAGCCCGTGCCCAGGAGCCACCGCCTCCCGCCGGCTCCCACCCCGCTCGCCGCCTCGCCAGCCCCCGGCGCCGGGCCGCTGCCGGCGGGGCACACAGGCGCCGCCCGGGGCTGGGCCTCCCTCCGCGGCCTCGCCCTGACCCGCCCCGCCGGGCTCCGCGGGCCTGGGCCCGCTCCTCGAGGGCCGCCCCGCGCCTCCCGCGCCCGCCGCCTCCCGCCCCCCGCCGGCTGGCCGCCCCGGCGGGCGCTGCTCCCACCAAGACCCCGGGCTCCGCGGCTCCGCGCGCTCGGCGCCGGCAGGGAAGGGCCGCCCCGCGCGGGGAGGGAGCTTTTAAAGCGACATACACGCCTCCCAGTGCTGAGCGCGAGAGCGCAGCGGGGTTCTCGCCACCCCGGTGATGGGGAGATGGCCTGCGCTGATGGGGAGATGGGGCTGGAGGCGACTAGCCCGGCTGGACTCCGCTGACCTCGGGGCACCGAGGGACAGCAGGCTAAGGCTACGGACTTAGCTCTTTCCCACCTTTCCAGACACCCCCATTGCCCCTTCCCCCACCGCCATGCACCCCTCGCTTCTCCGTTGGCTAAGTTTCCCGCATCCAGACCCTTTCCTTCTAGCACACCTCAAACTACCCCAGACATGACCTTAAATCAGATTAATTCAGGAAACAAAATATGGGCAACTTTTACTGAGCACCTACGGTGAGCCAAGCTCTGGGCTGGAGGGCTGGGAATCGGAGGCTCCGCAGATGACAGGTATGCGTTAGACACAGGTCACTTTGTTCCGTTATTCAACTACTTACTCAACACTTATTCAGCACCTCTGTGGACCAGACCCCATATACTAGACTCTGGGGCACAGGAAGGAAAAGGCAACATTTTAGGAAGCTCACACTCCGGGGGGAACACTGGGGAGTAAACTCAAGGGTGGTAAACACAGGACAAAATCAAGTTCTAGAAGCATGTGGTGAGTGGCAGGGAGGGCAGGGAGAGCGGGGAGGGCGGGGAGCAGCCCAGGCCTGGGCTGGCAGCCTCTCCGGGGAGGCAACCCTGAGCTGCAGGAGCTAGCCAGGTGACTGTCAGTGTGAGGAGGTGAGCTGGGTTGAACACTCCAGGCAGTGAAGGGGAGGACCAGCAGGGCTCAGGTGCAGAAGAGAGGGGAGTGTCAACCGTGGCCTTTTAGAAATACCGTTTTGACAGCTCTAGAGGAAGAACGAAACGATCCTGGAGAGACTCGGAGCCCATGGTTAGAGCTTGGATTTTATTCTGGACAGAGGAACCCAGATTTTTCAGGGGTGTTGTGTTGGTGGATCTGAGGCTAGACCGAAGGGAGGAGACCAGTTAGGAGGCTGTTACTGGAATGGAGCTGAGAGAGGAAGGACTAAGATGGCAGCAGGGATAGAGGGGAGGGGATGCTTTGAAAAATAATTTAGAAGAACATGGCAGGACTTGGTTGAACTTTAAGAGGAAGGGAGAGTCCAGGAGGACCCTGACTTATAGCGTGGGTGCCTGAGTAGATGGTTGCACCACCAATTGTGTTAGAGAACAGAGGGGAAGAACAGGTCTTGGGTGAGGAAGAGGAGTCCAATTTGGAACAGGTGGAGATATCCTGAAGACATGAGTATATGGGTCTATGGCTGGCCTGAGAGTTTTTTGTTTGTTTATTTATTTTGTTTTTAATCATTATTAGGGGGGATGAGATTGAGCAGAAATACAAAAGTGGCAGGTCCAGGCAAGTCTTGGGAAAGAGTCCCTGAGTGAGATGAACAGGGACTGTCAGGGAGGCAGGAGGAGAACAGGATGTGCAGGCCCAGGAGGGAAGCATGTGCTCAGCAGTGTCGAAGGCTGCAGCGAGCAGTTGTGACAGAAGGAATGGAAAGCCTCCATAAGAGGCCACTGATGTGGCAGGGGCAGGTTTTTGTGGGGGAAGGGAAGGAAGGTGGCAGGAGCTAAACTGTTGGACATTGAGGGATGAGTGCTTGGTGAGGAGTGGGAGTGAATATAGGTGCTACTGTTAAAAGTCCAAACAGGGTTGTAGAGATCTTGAACTAGAGGTGAATGAGGGTTCAAGGGAGATGGGGCTGGATGATGATTTGAGGCTGGCCCATGGGGAACTTGAACTCTAAGGACAGAGATTATTGTGCTTCCATCACCACCATCCAAATTCAGACGCTTCCTCGTGAAAAGCTGAACTTTGGGGGATCCAAGATGGTGGCCGACAGGCTGCAAGACGGTGTGTGAGTGAGAGAGCGAAAGGAGAGTGTGTGGGCGTGGGGTAGTGTCCGTATTTGTGATGAGGGACTATATTCCACAGGACTGTTGGGGACTGGCAAACCATGCTCCCCTGGCCAGGCAGCCTCTACCACCGCCGAAATCTCTCCCAGAGCAGCCGGCTCGCTCTGCCGCAGGGACCGCGCCGTCTTGAAAGGGAAAGGGGCTGTGATGGGAAACCCAGCCTTACCTTCAACCGGGGAGACCTCGGATACCTCCCGGGACGCTACAGCCACAACATCCAGGGACCAGCTGCCTCAGCTGTGAACCCATGAACACCGAGACTCCAGCCTTCCCAGTCGCGGGTGCCTAAAAAGTTTGTTTAGGGCAGCGGTTCTCAACCTGTGGGGATCGAACGACCCTTTCACAGGGGTCGCCTAAGACCATTGGAAAACACATAATTACATATTGTTTTTGTGATTAATCACTATGCTTTAATTATGTTCAATTTGTAACAATGAAAATACATCCTGCATATCAGATATTTAATTATGATTCATAACAGTAGCAAAATTACAGTTATGAAGTAGCATTGAAAATAATTTTATGGTTGGGGGTCACCACAACATGAGGAACTGTATTAAAGGGTCACGGCATTAGGAAGGTTGAGAACCACTGGTTTAGGGGGAGAGAAAATGCCGCCGAATAGGCAGATGAGTCCTGCGCCTTCTCACAGAGCAGATAGAAGGAACAGCTGAATCGAACAACGTCCACCCGGAATTGGCTAATTAAACACAGCTGGTGAGGCAATCCGTGGATGGACAGGTCAGAGATCACCTAGAGAGAGGTGTGATCTGGGATCCAGGCTGGAGGGAGAAACGTGCACAGCGGGAACTAGAATCTCAGAGGGAGACTGCACCCCACCAAGTCCGAGGCCCTTGGGATCAGGGTAGTCCTTGAATGTGGAAGGGAGTCCAGAGGACTGCTGGCAGAGGGGGACTCTAGATCTAAGCCCACAGCCATGGGAAACTGTGCCCAGAAAGGCAGCCTGAAGTTCTATACCGGCCATGCAGTGCCGGGGAGGGGGGAAAGATGGGAGTCAGTGTGGTTCCTTTGTCTTTTTTTTTTTACTTCCTTGCTTTTGCTTGCTAAGTCTAATACATAGGATCTTCCAATTAAAAACACTCACTGAGACTGCAGGGGAAAGTTGCTTCTGTGGAAACTAGGGATCAGAATAAGGAGAGATGAGCAGGAAACCAGCTCTGGGTCAGTCTATCCCTGCAACCCAGTATTAAGTGCGTCAGGGAAAGAAGAGTCTAAACCAGGGGTGGGCAAACTTTTTGACTCAAGGGCCACAATGGGTTCTTAAATTGGACCGGAGGGCCGAAACAAAAGCATGGATGGAGTGTTTGTGTGAACTAATATAAATTCAAAGTAAACATCATTACATAAAAGGGTACGGTCTTTTTTGTTTTGTTTTGTTTTATTCATTTCAAATGGGCCGGATCCAGCCCGCGGGCCGTAGTTTGCCCACGGCTGGTCTAAACACTGGGTAGAGGGGCCATTTTGTCCTGGAAACTAATCCAAAAACATAGGCACTCAGGGGTTGTGTCAGAAATTGACTCTTGTTAAATACAACTGAAGGCAGGCAGAGAAACAAAGTGAGCAGAGAGATCCCACCTGCTTGAAAACAAAGTTGTGGCTTATGACACAGAGGAGCTGTGGATCACAGGGAACTTCAACACTGTGCTGACTACCTGACAGGAAACAGATGTGCCAGGCAGAACAGTAGAGGAAGTGAATGACCTTCACTACTTCACTTTTTAATTTTTTTCTTTTACTTAAGAAATTAAAAATGTCTATTTCTTTTCTCACTTAATTTTTACTTTTTTAAATTAATATGTTTTATTATTATTATTACTACTACTATTTTACCTTTTAAAAAAAGTTTTATTTTTTCTTTATTTTATTTTATTCTGGGATTAGTGTTCTACATTCTACTTTTATTTTTCTTTTAGCATTATTTTACTCTATCTCAACTTTTCCTTTATGCCAACACTCTCTTCCTCACTCTTCCCCCTTTTCATCCTGTTTCTCTTACTCTGTTTCTGCTTTAGTTTTTCTCTTTCCTTTTTACTCCCTGTTAAAAATTGATCTTACTCATATATCTAATTTCCTCTCCCCTGCTCCAAGTCCATGCATAGTTCTCTCTCCCCTTTCTTCACTATCCAAATTTTTTTCTTCCTCTCATTTTTTCCTTTTTCTTTCTTTCTGTCTTATTGTTTGTTTGATTGTTTATTAGTTTGGTTTTTTCATTTTTCTCTTCTTTTTTTGCTTCTGTTTTTCCTCTCCTCACTTGTTCTCTTCTTCTACTAATAGCTTAATTAATTCCAATCACCAACTCAGGCCTATCTACTCTCTATTTTCCTTTTTCAATAATAGATGAATATATAAATAGATAGATTTAAATAAGGGGGAAATATTTTTTATATATAAATTTCTTTTATATATATACTAGAGGCCCATTGCATGAAGATTTGTGCAATAGGCCTTCCTTCCCCTGGCTGCCAGCACCGGTTTTCCTCTGGCACCCAGGACCCAGGCCTTTGGTCCAGCTGCAGCAGAGAAGCCAAGCCTCTTCAGTCTTCAGTCATCTTCAGTCTTCAGTCTTCAGTCTTCAGTCTTTGCTCAGGCCAGAGCCTTCAGTCTTTACTCCACACCTGCATATGCAAATTGGCCCAACAAAGATAGCGGGTTAATTTGCATACTCATCCTGATTGGCTGGTGGGCGTAATGGAGTGATGGCCAATTTGCATGTTTCTCTTTTATTAGTGTAGATTTTTAATTTATATCTATTTCTTTTCCTTTTTTTGTAGTTTGTTTTTTACTTTTCTTCTTATACACTCATTCTCTTTCTACCTCCTCTATACTGAATGTGGCCATTTCCCCATTCATCCAATCCTTGACCTTACCTTCTGGAAATAAGCTCTGCGTCCTCAGATTCAGCTGGTTGTTTGT